ATATTTTTAATCACCCATAACTCTTTGTTGTCTTCACCACTTCCTGAAACCAATAGTCCATTAGAACCCTATCGGAATAATGTATCAAATGCATTATCCCGTTAGAATTTTTAACTACCTTTCAGGGGGGTGAGTGTAATTATTGATACCACAGGGACCTTACAGTTATTTAAGCATACCTCAGGGGTGTGGGTGTAATTTACCCTTTAATATATTCCGTCTAGTAGCATCTATTTCAAACTGAGTCCTTGAAAATTAGCCCACAGCCCACTTAATACATTTCAAAACAAAATTATTATTTTTTTGATTTATTTGAATTAATTTATTTTAACAATAATTCTAGAATTAGTACTTTAATTTTTTTTTTAATATTGTTTAAAATTTAGTTAATTGATCATATTGGTAGTTTACAGTCTCTTGTACACATCAAAATCAAGACAAACACATGTAAATTAAAAAAGAAAAACATTATACATAACTCACAACCAATTGTTCTTATTAACTGCAAAATCACGGAACCTGAAAGAAAACTCCCCAGCAGTATCCCTCTCCAGCTTAATCTCCGCCGCATCGCCACCACCCGAATCATCATCTCCCTCTACATCTTCCGAAGAAGGCGGCAAAACCACCCCTGGGTCGTCATTGTTCTCGTTCGCCAAACGAATCTCGTTGGGGGATGAGTGTGTGCACGTGGACATGGCGCGGGCCCGGATGCTCCCCACGTTGGCGAAATTGGTGTTGCGGTCCCACAGGAACACGTGCATCATGATTGGGACCCTTGTGTGCCGGTGCAGAGACAGTTTCTGGCTCAGAGAAACTGTGTCGTAGCACCGGATCGCGCCTGTCGTGGAGACCATCCACGGCAGTACCTTTTGGTTCGATATCCGGGACACCACCAATAGACGGGAGGTACGGTTTGCTTGCTCGTGCATGTTGCTCAGCCCCGATCGAGACGACGGCACGTCGTCGTTGCCTTGGATAACCGATGATATGTAAATGAATCCCTGAAAAGGTCACAAGATAAGATCAGCCAAGAAAAAGATTAAATAAAATCTTATAAAAATAACCAATTAAATAATTTATGATATTATTATGATTGGTGGAGAAAGAATCAAGAATGAAGTGGTGTGGATAATATAGTTAAGTACCTCTTGTGTTCGGCTAATGGCGAAGCCGAGCTTGGTGTCAGTGTCTTTGATCTTGACCTCGATCGGAATCTCCCCCGCGAGAGGTGAGAACCATAATCGGACGGCTCTCACCACGCCAATGTCCACACCGTGGTAGTCTTCAAAGCCGTATAGGCTCGTGTTTGCAAGATTCGACAAGTCCGATAGTGACCCCGCGTTCACTCTCGACGAAGCAGTGTCCCCCGATATCTAAAACCACAACAAAGTCTAATCATGTACAATATAGGGGTACTTAATGCAATAAACTCTTTTATTACATGTATATATACCTTGGTAAGTAGAGATTCGGTTTGAATGTTCATGAAGACAATGGGAGCGCCCGATTCCTGAGAAGCGTTGATCCAAGTGTGGGCCCGGGCAAGGGTGTCCTCGAGATCGTTGTAACGAGAAGCGGAATTGTCGGAGGCTTTAGGCAAAAACAATATAGAGTAAAAGCTGCTCGAGTTTGGTACCGATAGCATCTCGTGCATCCTCCGGTCCCACGGGTACGATACGTACCCGTCCTCTAGTGAGATGCTCTCCAATGCACTCACCATTCTTATTGTCCTAGAAGCTGCATTCACACAATCATTTCATTATTAATTCTTACACAATTCGATATTAGATATAATACACACACAAAAAATTGACATCCACCATAGTACATATGAACATAAAACCACGCGTGGCAGAATAAATAAAGAGGTTAGATTTAAATTAAGTAAATATATATCTGAAAGTCTTTTCAACAAACACTTGGTTTGCATAATATTTCTGGTCAAAATGTGTGACACCGCTAACTTGTGTGTAGGCCAGGCCCTCTTGGGTTGGTTTACACATGCTTTTTAGAATTATTAATTTACTTATTTTTTGTTTCTCCTAAGTAGTTGTTGACACAATCGTCAAACATTTGATTTCAAAGGTCTATATTCCCTTTTCTAGATTGTGGGACAAATATATTATCATAATAGAGTCATAAATAAACCATTAGAAAATTGAACACTTTCTAATTTGACATATTAGAAGGGTATTTTTGGGAATCCCTTTAATATTTTTGAAAATGAACAACTAATTTCAATTTCGTTCATACTTTCTCTTTGGAATAATTGTAAAACCGGAATAAAAAACTAGTTCAAAAGAAAAGTATATACATGTATATGTGTGTGTGCGCGTCAATTTAGAATAGACGAAATTGAATCTAAAACTTAAACCTTAAACTCGAAACCCGAAACCAAAACGTAAAGGTAGATTGACATAAAATTGGAGTAGGTCACTTAAAGTGACAAGAAATTTATTGCAGCTAGAGTAGTTGAAACCATAAATTTATTTAAAAAATAAAAAAAAAAAATTGAAAAATGTGGACGCATTGTAATTAAACAACGATTACTGCGCAAAACAAACGGAAAAAAACCAAAACTCCCAAAAAAACGTGTTTTAGTTTTCTTGTTCAGATTCATAGAAGTCGGCAAACGGTAGGAAAACGGGAAGAAAACGGAAAAAAAAGTCAACGTAGCAAAGTCAGATATTTTTTTTCGCTCGTTTCTCACCTTGCAAGTTGAAGCACTCGCTCTCCGTCCGATCACAGAACCCGACGGCGTAATTCGGGTCGTCGATGGCCCGCAAAACATACTGCTTCCTTCCCAAGAACTGGTCTCCGGGCACGACACACGCCTGCAGCTGGGCGAACTCGTCGGGTCCCCGCCTGACCCGGACCCGAACCGACGTCTCCTTCTGCTTGTACGAACCGTGCAGGATTTTATTCACCCCGGTTTTCCCGTTCTTGAACGGCGATTTGATAACCATGTTGCCGATCCTTATCTCCTCGACTATGTCGCCGGTCTGGAGCATGTCGCCGGTCCACTCGTCGGATTTTGAGGTGCCCTTCAGGCATTCGATGGAGAGTACAACGGCGGTGGTGGAGCCTTTATTCGCCGGCGACGAACTGGAAGATGAGAACGGGGAGCTTTCGGCTGATGAAGACGATGAGTATGGTGGTGGTCCGTCCATTGGCATTTAGTTTTTTTCTTTTTTTTTTCTTGGTGGGGAGGGAAGTTTAATTTCTTGGATTTTGGAGGGCTTGGTTGAAAATAATGATCATTTGTGTGTTTGAGAGGCTTTAATAATTTTCTTGCACCATTTTCTCTCTTCTTATAAGTTATAGGTGAGTATATACAGAAGAAGACAGAGTTGATCGAGAGAGAGAGAGAGAGAGAGAGAGAGAGAGATTCCACTTTTTAGTGTGTGAGGAAAAATAGAGATGGGTAGGAAGTCAAAAATGGAGGAGACAAAGGATTGGAAGTTGAATTAGCGTGGTGGGGCTAGATTTATTTCAAGCAACAAGTTTTTTTTTTTTGGATAAATTTTATTATTGTTATTGTTAGGGGTGAAAATTAAATGAGACGAGCGCTTGATCGATAAAAGCTCGAACTCAAATTTTTTGAGTTTCACTCGAACTTTAATATTTAGAGCTCGAGCTTGAGCTTTTTGACGAGTCGAGCTCGAGCTCATTCTTAATTGTTCATGAGCTAGCGAATTTTTTTATATATATAATTAATATAAAATAAATAATAAATAAATTACATGTCATTTTTTATTTCGATTTTTTTAATTATAATTAACAGTAACAAAATTCTAATATTATTAATAAAAACAATAATAAAAGACACAAAATAACTCATGCTCGAGACCAAAAACAAATACTTGACGAGCTCGAGCTTTGCCAACACAACAAAGCTCTGCTCGTTTCTTATTGTGTCCATGAAACTTGTTGACTTACTATATTTATTGCTAAATCGATTGATTCATTATATAAGAATTAAGATAGAATTTTGTGGGTCAAAAAATACTAAATTAGACTAAATGATAAGACTTTGCTGTTATTGGTCCATATTTTTAAATAAATTTAGCAAGCCATCAAGGTATTTAAAAAATATCCTTCCAGAAAGATATTTTTAAGGATTTCAATATCAAATTGATTCAAATGTTCCCATCGGGAAAGATCCACGAATTTCCATTATATCTCATCATCTTATAAATTAAAAAAATAAAATAAAAATAAATAAATTTGCTCTTGGATCAAGGTTAACCTATGATGCACGGAAACTTCTATTCACATGTGTTTCCATGTTTTGGAAAAAAATCGGAAACCAAAACTACATGATACCTATCCGAAAACATTATAGGGCCATTTCTGTAAATATTTAAGAGTTTTGGGATGTTTCTATTAATAATGAAAACATGAAATACGAGTTTCCACCATAAAAATCCAAACTCATTTTAAATGAAAAATTGGAATTGCATTCGCTTAAAGAAAATCTTAAATCTTATGTTCACTTGTAGTATCTTATATTTTTTTAATGCTAATTCGTTTTAAAATAAATTTATGTGTCCAAAAGTAATTTGTGGAATGATAATTCGGATTGAAACTTGTAATTATATATAATTTGTAGGTACACCGTACAAGTATATAATTTACGATAAATATATAAATTAAACATTATAATGTTTTATAGAACTTATAAATGTAGTCCTATATTTTTAATATGTCGATTTTCAACTTCGTCATATTCACGTTCCCGTATCCGTACTACATATGTATTATAAGATATGCATCATTGACAACTCCTTTTTCCTTTTAACATTCAAACATAATATAAAACACTAAAATATTAATGTGACAGTGACACCACTTAAATGACACAACCTTAAATCATTAATTACGCAAACCTATGTAAACCTCTATAAATTAAGATTATTGTGATTGACAAAATGCTATTAATTTAATAAAATATTAAATTATCAAAATCATTAATAGGTTTACTATGCATTGGGGTATAGAGAAATTATTATTTTATTGAAATTATTAATTTATTGAGGTTCAACTGTATATATTTTAAGATAGCACTAAAAGTTCAATATTCTAGAACATGGCCGAAGCACCAACTATATAAAGAAAGACTTCGAATTGGTAGGGTACATATTCAACTTCCAAGTTTATTACACTCTTGTCTGCTACTAACAAGTCAATAGTTTAGAAGACTGATTGAACATTTGAACGAACCTTCCTTTTCTCTTCTTTTGGCTTTTGCTGCTCAATTTTCGGGTGGAATTCTCGATCAATAATTTTCGATTTTGAAACATATTGTTCTGTCCCATTTTCAACATTCCGATTTTGATTTTTCCGATTTTCTTTGACATAATGGGAATTAGCTTTCCATTTCCAGAAAAAAAAAATGATTTTTTTTTCAAAAGTGCTAAATATGTCCCGATCCGTCCGATTTCTCAAAATTTCCGAAACAACATATGTAAACATAAAAATTCAGTACCATGACAATTGACATAGAAATTACCTATACAACTAAATGTTGTATTTATCAGCTAAATTACTAAAATTTCTGCAGCTTTTTTGCCTATAAATTAAACTTCCCTACATAGTTATATATATATTTGCAATCCCCTGACATCGAACATCCCTCGTCGATTCCCTACAAAAAAAAAAATATATATATATATATTACATAAATTGTATCAAATACTATTGGAATAAATCAATATTTTTTTTAAAAGTAAAAAGAAAAAGAAAATACTTACTTAGAGCCATCTCTTCGGTGCATTTACTTCCTTCGATCTGGGAGGAGGTCGTCTCCTAATTCTATTTTCTCCACTCGAAATATTCTTCGGTTTCAAATCAAGTACTGTATTAGGTGTTTGACAATTCAACGGCAGCTCTTTTAGAGGACTTCTCACACAGGATTTTTTCAGCTGACCGAGTTTAGCTTTCTCGTTAGTTTCGACACAGATTTCTCGACTTTTAAATACTGGAGAGCTATCCGAATCAGAAGAAGCACTGGTTGTGTTATCCATGTCGTAAAGCACGTTTTCTGCCATGAAGGGAGGATGCTCTGGACTTGCAGTTGCTACACCCGAGAATGAAGATCTTCTTCGGAGTCTTGATAGGTTCATCACCTGCTTATACGAGTATTTTTTTTTCGATCAGTATAAGTATAAGCAATTTAGAAAATCGTAGAATATCTGAAATTATTGAGTCTAATTTTTTGTTTAACTAGTCATAATAATACCTTGTGTTCGAGAAACATTATGTCTTTTCGCAGTTTGTTGATGATCGTATTTTTCCTTCGGATGATATCTTCCAATTCCACGTTCCTCTGATAGGCACAGCACAAATACAGATAAACAAAGGATTTTTTTTTAAATTTTTTATTTTTAAATATTTAAATAGTGAAATAATTACCTTTGAACTAGAAACTTGAGATGACTGAATAGAAGTAGACAACTTCTTAATGATGGCATCTTTCTCTTCGCATTCTTTCTGTAGGTTACGGATATCGTGTTCAATTACGAAATTGTCCAACTGCAATAGATGTTAAAAATGTTGGAACTAAAATTAGTTTAATAGTTGTTCTTTGATATTGAATAACATTTCGAGCAAAATGAAACTAATATATATATATATATATATATATATATATATATATATATATATATATATATATATATATATATATATATATATATATATATATATATATATATATCCAACTACAATATTTTGAAGCATCTACCGATAACTAAAACGAGGAAGCATAAAAAGCAGCACGGGTATGAAAAGCTCTGGCCAATTAGAAACCACAATTTCATTTTTTATGTTCCTTTTCAATTTATATACAGATTGAATATTTGGATATATTCGGCTTAAGCATGTAGAAAAGACCAACACAGCTTCTAGAAAGTTCCATAGCTGACAATGCAATTACACAACATACTGTACCTGAATATCAACCGAAGAAGCGACACTAGGAGCCCAATCCGACAAATCAGACATGCGACGCTCATCTGGTTCAACCACATTATTTTCAAGCGGCATTTTATATTTATATTTAAACACCTCATCTCCATTCGATTCAGACTTATTCCCCTACAAGAAAGGCATTAAGCAGTAAGCAGTAAGCACTTGCATTTTAGGTCTCGTTAAATGTATAATATTCGTGATAAAAATTATGTTATTCTCTAGAGAGAGAATAACACTCCGGTGCATATTTACCAAAACGACATCGTCTGGTGGTTGTATATGATGTTGGCATGGCTTACAACTGCAGTTCATCCTTTGCGCGACAGTGACATCATCATCGGCAGACACGAATTCCGTCTGATCTTTGAAATAATCCACCTGCTGACATAAATTGTCCAGCTTCTGTTGCATGCTTAGGAGCACTTGATCCTGCAAAATAATTTATTCAAGAAAATTAAGACATTTCACAAAAACCAGTGCAAGAACAAAAACCCGAGCGATCTTTAGGAAGAAAAGAATTAACATAGAGACTTACTGAATTAAACTAAATGAAATACAAAAACTCATTTACGCGCATCACATTGTAACTTAATTTTATTTTGGACATATAATTCAGAAATGGGAATCACTCCCAGCCATTAATTCCACATAAATATTTTTCTTTGTTTACGAAGGTAAAAATCGAACGAGCTCGAGTACCATTCTCGAGCATTTAAGTACACAGTCCAGCTCCAGCACATATAGAAATAGTGTAATAGAATCAATCAAAACTGTAATCCAAAACCCTAATAAATGAATTAAGGATGCTTTGATTGATTCTCAACGTTATAGGTTATTAAGGAACTTAATAAAAAATTCAGAAACATAATTACTCAGTCAAATCGATGAAATTGATGATTTAATAAAACAACACCCACTTCAATTAATCCACTAAAAATATGCGAATCAATAATTGAAAAAAAAAAAAAAAAAAAAAACTGACCCTAAGTTGAACAGATTTCTGCAGCTTCAAAATACGCCTATTCTTCTCCGAATTAGCCGCCGCGGCCGCGACAACAGCGACAAGCAGGACACGTTGGATGGGGGTAAACAGCTCCCAAGCCGCCGCCTCTCTAGGGCTGAATGCGCCGTTCCTATCGACGGATTTAGCGGAGGTGGCTTCCTCGGCTCCGACGAGCCGGCCTTGTAGAGAAACCCAAGCCAGCTGACGTTTGGCTCGAATCGGCTTGGTGGCCTGCGTGAAGCAGCTCGAAAGTCGGCGCGGCGAAGGCGAGGCTGAGGGAGTGAATGGGGTTAGATAGACTAGCGAAGGGGGGAAGACGGAGCCGAAGGTGGACTCGTGCTCGTCTGATTCTGCCATGGCTGAAGAAGTTGAAAAAACTTGAAGCTGTTATTAATTAGTTTGATATATTGGTTGGTTAATAAATAATAATTTATTATGCAATACTTCTTTTATTTATTTCTGTTTTAATGATTTAAAAAATAAATAAATAAAACTGGGAATTTTTGAATATATGTTTGAAATTTTATGTATTTGGGAGGTATTGATGGAAATTCTAAAGACAGGAAGGAAGGTGGTGGCAACTGGCAAATTGGCTAGCCGTTGGTAATTTTATTCTTTTTTTTTTTTTTTTTTGAAATTTAAATTTTTTGTCACTTTCCGAAATAACTAATAGTGGACTTTTTTATTCTTATCCATTTAAATATATATATATATATATATATATATATATATATATATATTGATGATGCTAATTACTTAGATCACCTGGAGTGGTGTAGAAAATAAACTGGGAGAGCAAAGCAGATCAGTAACTTGACAACTTGATGATCCTGAGGTACCTGCGAAATGAACACACGTGAACTACGCCGGGGGTTGATCCGGCGGAAACCCCTCCGACGCTCAAGTCAGACGTGCTGATCATAGAAATAGTCCAGAGAATACGTATTGTAGTATTGCTCAGTTAATAGGACGTACCTTAAGGAATGAATTCAAACCTTTATTTATAGCTTAGTTGAGATTGTCGGGCCCAAACCTTACTTGAAGGTGATTGGGTCTCGGTGATAGTGGTCTTCGATATTGGGCTCGTGGCCCAGTAGGTAAGTAATTTGTAGGCCCATTGGGTTGACCCAATTATGCATATCATATATATATATATATTATGAGTTTTTTTTTTTTTAATAGTTTGACTAGTGTTTGTAAATACAGCAAAAAACTTTTATGTTATATAAATAGTTAAATACATGATAATATTGATGTTGTAAATATTTTTAATGAAATAAATATTAGAACATCAAAAAGCATATTCTATAGCTCAACGTAACCTTAAAAGTTGTCGAAAGCTTTTCGTATTTATATTATGGATTTAGTTGTTCGGGAAAACAATTTGCAGAAAACGGCTTTTATTGGGTTTTGTTGTCGGATAATGTCTTAAATCATTTTAGGTCTTGTAACGAAATGAAATTTACGAGAATTTGTATATGATTTGTGTTCCAACTCAACTTCTTTTTTGAAAAGAAAAATGAAAAATCGAAATCAAAATCTTGTTACAAATTAGTTGGATCAAAATTAGCGTAAATCGAAAATATTATTCCAATTTTTACCTTTAGATGTGAATAACTGCGTACACTATGTCTGGTTAATATTTCAATCATGTTGAATTCGAATTCGATATCATAGATAATAAATAACGCCAATCTACAAAAGAGAAAACAATATTACATGAAACTATGAATTAAATATAGGAAATTTAGCAAGATCATTGCCAAATCCATATAAGAGGAGACCTTTTAGTTTTTTATTTGAAAAATTTCATTTAGTTGTTATATTGACTAATTAATAGAAGTAAACTATCATTATAGCACTTAATGATTTATTATAATTGCTTAACACTAACTTATCGCCTCTATTACGTTGTTCTCTCTTCTTTCTCAAATCTGAGAATTCCTTATGTTCCCACTCTCTTCTCTCTTTGTCGTATTCTCCGTTTCTTTTCCCCCATTTTTTTCAGTTTTGTCTTCCGACAGATGGACTCTTGGTGGCGGCAGAGAGGAAGAAGCAGTGATGGTAGCATTTCCAACCTTTGTTTGTTGACCCGATTGAGAGGAACACATGGGTAGTGCCTCAAGTGGTTGGGTTTCGATGTTGCTCTGCGTTCAATTTTTTCGTACTTCGAATTCTAGCGAGATGTTGAGGAGAAGGGTGAACCTGTAATGGCAGCGACGCGGACGGCGATTTTGTTGGTATATGGGGATGACGTAAATTTTTAGTTGATTTACGTTAATCAATTATTTAGTCATATTTGATTAACCTAAATCGAATACTAAAATCATGACCAATTAACGTAAATCGACTACAAATCTTTTGAAGTTGCCGTGTTTTTTGTTATGGGTTGCATCAGTAGTGGAGTTAAAACTATGCAGCGTATGGTGGTGTTTCGTAAATTAGGTCGGTGTTTCGAGGAAAAAAAAAAGACATTAACACCCTAATTCGACTATTGCGACGGGCCCTAATTTGACCGGAGAAGACGATTGTTGCGCATACGACTGAGTTGCACTCAATTTTTGCGTGAAGTGGACCCCAATTTTTAGGATTTATTTTTTGATTTTTTGTAAATTAGAGGGAAAAAGAATTATGATTATGATTAAAAAAAATTTGGACTTTTGTCGAAGAGTGAAATTAGTTGTTACATGAATGGGCTATGCCAAGGCCCAAGTCACTCCGCTATTAAAGTTCAAACCTTTTGAATAATTACCATATTAAATCTAAAAAAATAAAAATAAAAATAAAAATATTAGATGAGTTTTAACGAAATCCAATAGCGCTGAGCCCTAATTTCATCTTCTTCCCCCCTTTGCTATTTTCTCAAATCTCGATTCGTCACCGGCTCATCCTCGTCGACGGTTCTCGGCAACCCTTCACCACCGTCTTCTCCAATCCATAGACTTTTTATTCTGTCTGCTCCGCCGCCTCTCAGTCGATTCAGTCCGTGGCGGTACAAAACAACCTCCCAGCCGACGTCGTTCGCCACTCCGGCAGCGTATCAATCTCTTAGTCAACAGCGCCGCCTTGCGGTCCGGTGAAAGTTCAATAATTTTGTGCTTTTATGTGCTAGGGTTTTTCTGATAGTTAATTATCTTCACGAAAGAATGGCTCGGAAGCATCATTCTGATTCCAGCAGCAGCGAAGATGAGAAACGAGTTGCCAGGCGTCAACATGTTAAGTCTTCCGAAGGCGACAGGAGAAAGAGGAGGGGTAACGGCCGAAATTCGGAGAGTGAAGCATCCGAAGAAGAAGTCAGGCGCGAAAGGGAGATAAGGAGAGGGAGAGATGATGATGAAAGAGTAGAAAAGAGAAGGGGGGATGCGAATCCTGCTCGAGATTCTGAAAGAGAAGATAGGAGAACAAGAAGTGGGCAAGATGATGAGATTGAGGAGAACGGACACAAGAGTAGGAAAAATGATAGGGGTAGTGAGAGAAAATCACGACATGATGCAGATAACGATGGTGATAGAAAAGTTGAGGGGCGGAGGCACAAAGACTATCGTGATTCAGAGAGTGATAGGGGAGATAGAAGCCGTAGAAGTGAACGTAGAAGCGAACGAGGGCGTGAGGATGATTATGAGGAAGGGGAGTACAAAGACCGGGATAATCGTTACAGCAAGCATGTCGATAGAGAAGATGATAGGAAAGAGCGGCGGATGGATAGAGAACGAGATCGGGAAAGAGACAGGAGACACGGTGAGAATGGTGATAGAGATAAGAGGAGAATCAAGAAGGATAAGAATGAGAGTGAAGTAGAGGCTAAGGGTTTGAAAACAAATGGTGATGGCAAGGAAAACGATGCAGTGAAGGTACAACCGAATGTGGGGATGGATGTGGTTGCGAATATGGGGAGGAGTGGTGGAGTGTATATTCCTCCGTTTAAGTTGGCGAGAATGATGAAGGAAGTCGAGGATAAAAGCAGCGTCGAGTATCAGAGAATGACGTGGGATGCACTGAGGAAGAGCATTAATGGATTGGTTAACAAGGTGAATTCCACTAACATCAAGAATATACTTCCGGAGTTGTTTGCAGAAAATCTGATAAGAGGGAGAGGTCTGTTTTGTCGGTCTTGCATGAAGTCTCAAATGGCGTCTCCAGGTTTCACGGAGGTGTTTGCAGCATTGGTTGCTGTGGTGAACACCAAGTTTCCTGAAGTTGGCGATCTTTTGTTGCGAAGGATAATACTACAGCTTCAGAGGGCATATAAGCGCAATGATAAGGTTCATAGCTTTCTCTCTATCTTTTTCTTTAACATTGGTTTATTGCTTCGTTATAGTCTTTTGGCAATGTATTATGATCTCATGTACTATGATAAAATTCTTGGCAGCCACAATTACTTGCCGCAGTCAAATTTATCGCACACTTGGTGAACCAGCAGGTGGTTCATGAGCTTATTGCTCTTGAGCTGCTGACTCTGCTCCTGGATAAGGCAACTGACGATAGTGTTGAAGTGGCTGTTGGCTTCGTTACTGAATGTGGATCCTTGCTCCAGGATATTTCTCCTCGTGGAATGCATGGTGAGTACAGCATTTTGTTGTCTGTTTCTTGTGATACGCCATTTTATTCGATGTTCAGATTAATTGGAATAATCTGAAGTTGTGTGCACAATGTGCCCACTAATACAGATTAATTGCTAACTTTTGAGCGTTGTTATTCTGTTGGGTTCAATTTTAGTTCCTGATTCTATGTGATCAATTGGGATTGGGTGGAGTTTCAGGACTCATGATATTTGTTGATGTTCAGCTTATTGATATTTGTGTTTTGGTTCATCTTCCCTTTGTGTTGTAGATGGGATGTGTCCTAATTTGGTTTTACGATTCTAAACTTGCACATACACACTATATATACTATCCTATTTCACTAAATTTTAATCTTTTTGTTTCACTTTGTAATTGGTTGGTGGTTTAGATAAATTTTGATTTGTAAGTTCTAGATCTCTCTTGATGGATCTCAATCTTTGAAAATTTAGATTTATTTTTTGTTCCATTCCACAGTTTAATGAAGATTTATTTCAAACTATTAAATGTATCTAGATTGAAGTTGGGCAGCCTGCTGCTGTGAAGTAATTATGAAATAGAATATAACTTGTTATCTGATGGGAACAATTGCTGCATGATGCATTGCTCTGTGATATTTTTTTTGGCAGTTTTTACCCGTGTTTTTTAAAAATGTCTTGAGGTGATTCAGTTACCTTTTTGTTCACATCATACTATTACAGTTTCAATTAATTGTTGCGTAGCTAGCCGTCTAGCACTTCATATACCAGGCTGTCGTGGTCTAGCCCCCCATGTTTAATTTCACACTGTTGCTCTAATATGTTTTTGTGTTTTGTGCACGTCTGGGGGGAGGTTTTGTTTCGCTGCAAACAGTATATCTTTTATTTATTGAATTACATAATCCGGACATTTGAGTTTTTATTTCAACAGGTATCTTTGAGCGATTTCGTGGAATTCTTCATGAAGGAGAAATAGATAAACGTGTTCAGTTCTTAATCGAAGGCCTCTTTGCATTGCGAAAAGCAAAGTTTCAGGTGAGTTTTCACACTGTCATGAATTGGAAGTTACCATGTTATGTCTGCATTATTTTTTATCCACATATTAGATTTGATGTGGTAAATTTTGAGCTCATCTATTGATGCACTACATTCAGGGGCATCCTGCTATCCGTGATGAGTTGGACCTAGTGGATGAAGAAGATCAATTGACTCATGAGGTATCTCTCGCTGATAACATAGATCCCGAGATTGCCTTAGGTATGACTCAACTTTTGTTGTATTTACCCACTTTCATATTCACTAACACGGAACTTACATATTTCAATTCCCCTATCTGCAGATATCTTCAAGCCGGATCCGCAGTTCACGGAGAACGAGAAGCGGTATGAAGAACTGAAAAAGCAGATGCTAGGTGAAGAATCTGGGGATGAAGATGCGGACCCAGACGATGAAGATGCAGGTTCAGATTCAGATGATGAGGATGAGCAAGACTCGGAGGAAGAAGATGAAGAGCAGATGAAAATAAGGGACGAGACGGAGACAAATTTGATCAATCTTCGAAGAACTATTTATTTGACAATTATGTCTAGTGTTGATTTTGAAGAAGCTGGACATAAGCTATTGAAAATCAAATTGGAGCCTGGTCAGGAGGTGGGTAACACAATCTTTCATTTTTTTTTTCTATTCGCTAAATATAATTTATGCTAGAGTTTGGTTTGTTTTGAATTTGATCCATGAAGATTTTTATGGTAGTTATGCATCACAAGCCTGTATCATGTTGCATTCGAACCTGCAGTGCGCCAATGACTTATTTTAGAGGGTCATTGTTGTTTTACATTTACTTTCCAGGGTGTCTCTAAAAAAACTGGCGGAGATAAGTAGACAAAAAAATCTTGCAATATATGATCCCAATGTTTCTTTGACAACTTCCAATAATTTTGTGTTTCAGTATAATTTTTTTGATGTTTTCTGCACATGTAATTTCGTTCTGTTTATAACTTTTGAAAATATTTCCTGATATGTGTGCATTTGCTGTGATTGGTTTCTTATGTGCAGATGGAATTGTGCATTATGTTGTTGGAGTGTTGCAGTCAAGAGAGAACCTACCTCCGCTACTACGGACTTCTTGGGCAGCGGTTTTGTATGATAAACAAAATTCATCAGGAGAATTTTGAGACGTGTTTTGTCCAGCAGTACTCTATGATCCATCGGCTTGAGACCAATAAACTACGAAATGTGGCTAAGTTCTTTGCTCATTTACTCGGCACAGATGCCTTGCCTTGGAATGTTTTGTCGTATATACGGTTGACTGAAGAGGATACAACTTCTTCTTCCCGTATTTTCATCAAGATTCTTTTCCAGGTACCTCTAAATAGCAGTGTTGAAATATTTCATCAAGATTCTTTTCCCGTATTCCATTGCTTAAATTAAAGTATTAAACTAGTCCTAAGCTATTGTGTTCTCTTCTGAAAATTTTGTTTGAACCTAATAATTGTTATTCTTTTCGATGCAGGAATTATCCGAGCACCTTGGAATTCGCTTACTCAATGAACGTCTAAGTAACCCGTCCATGCAAGACTCGTTCGACTCAATATTTCCAAAGGATAATCCAAAGAACACTAGGTTTGCTATCAACTTCTTCACTTCCATTGGTCTTGGTGGAATCACAGAGAATCTACGAGAGTATCTCAAAAACATGCCAAGGCTCATCATGCAACAGCAAAAGGCTATCTCCGAGTCAGAATCTGGATCTGATTCTTCTAGTTCTGAATCTGAATCATCGAGTTCTGAGTCAAGTGAGAGTGAAAGTGAAAGTGACGATAAGCACAGGAAGAAGAGAAGAAGACACTAAGGATGATGATTTCGACATCAAATGTTAGTTACACCTTTCACACCACGTGTTTTTTCAGAGACTGTGTTACGGTTTTGTTTGTGATATAACATGCCTAGGATTCTTTATAAATCGTTGCGCGATCCTTGGTTCCTGCTTTGCGGTATTTATTCTTGTATTTGTACTTTGTTTATCGGTAAATTTCGAAAATGGTACCTGCATCTTGAATGTTGCACTTTTCTTGAATCTGCTTTTAGTTTCCTTCTTTGACAAATCTTCCCATATGTATGATGTTTGTTCTTGATGCTATGTTAGTTGAGTTTACATTGTGTAATATTTTACTGTTCATCTGAACACGAATAATCCACTTCTTTACGAGTGTATGAAACACGAATTTTCATTCGGTGCACATGAACATTTCATCATGAGATTCAGGTTGGAAGGCATAACTCTGCTTGAGAAGGGCAACATGTATTGCTTATAATCTGTATCTGGGGAACGTAAGGAAAAATGACAAGTCTGCCCCCATACACACTAACAAATCAAGTTTTAGATGACATTTTCAGCTGGAAATTGGATTAGGGTGCGCTCTGCAAGAAAATTAAAATTCAAGGCGTTCTGCTATTTTTGTGATGTAAGGGTGCATTTTGTGTCAATGGGATGTAATTTGAGGGTTCAAAATGCAAGTTACCCAAACTCTGAAGTTAGTATTTTCATAACAATAAGTAACCGGAAAGATGGATTGTTGAATTTTAAGGCCTCTTTTGATATGGTTAATTGATTTGATATCTTACTTGTCGACATTAATTTGTCATTTTGGTAGCCTAGATTGAAATACAATATTGCAAAACGATCTAATTGCATGTATTATGTATAATGGTTTGATTGATAGTGAAATCAAATTTGAGAGTGATGATGAAATTATAGGGTAAATTACAATCACCCGGATCAAGTAAGGTCTGTTTATGAAGAAATCCCTCATTTTCCATAATTACAAATATCCCCTTGCAATCTGTAAATTTCTCATATTAACACCTTTTGTAGGGGGTGGATGTAAGACATTTACAAACTGGTTGATGTAATTTCTCAAAAATAAAAGATTATTTTGTAATTACAATTTACTTCAAGGAGGTGGTTTTAGTTTAACCAAAATTATTATACAATTGCTATCACTTCTATCAAACGGGGAATATGAAAAGAAAAATAAAAATCATGCATATGAATGATCTAGCGGTTGGAGAAAATAAGTTTATACTAATTGACAAAAGTTCGGACCTTCTTGTCAACAGTCGTTAGATGGAACTTGTTGCGTATAATTAGCCTATAAATTTAAATCTCCTTATAATTTGTAAGCTATTATACGAAAGTGTATGTTTACCTAATATAATAATTGATGCATTATTATTTATTACATTAGAAATGATGCACCAAAATTAGAGTAGGGTGCAATTAACTTAAAGCCCACCACGACGTTGCTTCCTTTTGTTGAATTCCACAAGAGCATGCACCCCACCCCACCCACCTTTGCCTAATTAACCAGTCAAAACAATCCAACCACCAACAACCAATCGCCACGTAAAGTAACCACTATTTTTCCAAGACAACCACCGCATTTTCATTTATTTGCATTTCGCCCCCATCATTTCTTTCTTACTTCATTACCCCCACCACATAATTCCAGCCTAACATATTAAATTAACAAAGCCAACGTATAACAACATGGTCCTCATAAAAAAAAAATATAATTAATTATATATTTATAATAGTACAATAAATGGAATAAAAAGCAAGAATTTTGCACTCCCCATTTAATTAATATTAATAATATAATTATGACGAAGAAGAAACCTAAATTGACAATCACGCCCCTACTTTTTCATCTAATTTACAACACAACCCATCGTCGTCGTCGTCGTCTTCCGACCAACCACTACAGAGGAATTCTACGTAATTAATTATTTAATTAATTAATTAATTAATTAAACAAGACTCAGCTAACACCGAAAAACGCACACCACCAAAAAAAAAAAAAAAACCACAGATCTATGATTTTCCTCCGGCGAAGGTTTTTCTTCCTTCAAACCTTGACGAGTTTGGCAGCTCTGACGACCGGATTCTCCCTCGCGATGGCCTCCCGGCCAGCCGCCTTGTAATCGTAGCTGCAATCGTGCCGATCGGAGTATCTGTGCTCCGAGCAGAAGGTATCTCCGCATCTGCACTGGAAACCGGTCAACCCGATTCGCTTTCTGCAACCCGATCCGGAGCACCTGGTCACCTCCCTGGGTCTCTTCAATCCCCCTTGCTTTTTCTCCACCGGAGAAACCAGATCCGGCGAAATAGCGGAGCTGGTTCTACGGTCGCACGAATCCGAAACCTTCAGATCTGAGCTCTCCGTCGATCTGGCAGCCGGAATCGCCGTCGTCGTCGTCGGCGGCGGCGGGGGGATGCATATGGGGAGATTTTCCGGTACCTTGACCTCGGTTTCTTCCTTCTCTATCTTCTGTGACATATTTTCAGGGTTCAATTTTCAGAGAGCAAAAGAAAGAAGGAAACTTTATGGAAATGGAAATCGGTGAAAAGACGAATCTCGCGAGTTTCTATATATGATTTGGGGCATAAATAAATGGGTTAGGTCTCCAATATTACTTTCTTATAAAAAAAAAAAGGTCTCCAATATTATTAAATTAATTAATTCTCAATTTATTTATTAAAAATAAAAAAGAGAAAATATATTATGTGGAGTGGGTGTTTTTAATATGTTTTAAATAATTTTGAGGTGTTTATGAGAGGAAAATATAATAATGTGGGGGGGGGGGCTTTGTTGGAAACGCGTATGGGCATCCGCATCAGGCATTCTCGTTGTGTGTAATGACGGATATGCCCTTCTGACTTTGCTATTCTTGGGTGGTGGGCTTGTTCCTGGGGAAGTGCGGCTTTAGATCAGCGCTGACGTGGTTCCTTCATGGGCATGATGGGTTAAGGGTGCTTTCGTCTTTTGCCCTGAAATTGGAATTTCTTTTATTGACATTTTCTACGTGTGTTTTTAAAAGTACTCAAATGCAATTTTACCATTATCGGTCCGAATTTGGTAAGAGTCAAAACAAAAATTTACAATTAATTAAGTTGATTTTCCAATTCAATTTGAACAAACTGAATTGGATATCAGGTGGGGAAATTACCTATGAATAAGTTACACGAAACAAAATATCAAAATTGTTATCAACGTTCATTTATTAACGTAAAACTTTCTGACAAATATTGAATCTAGTTGATTTAAGTTGAATAAGAGAGCCAACTCGAAGGACTATAAATTTTGTATTTGACTTTTGACGAATTTAGATTGCCTCTGTTTTGCCCCAAAATGGTCGAGATGCTCTCTCTTACATATCACAATCTATTATCTTTAAATAAAAACTGATTTGATTGTCGGAGCTTCGCCGGGAAACCCCTCCCGATATTGCAGGTACCCCTTCGGTGAAATCTCCGGCAAACTGTCATCCAAAATACCTTCTAAGAAGAACACACCTTCATCTCGACCATTTTGGGGCAAAATAGCGTCGAAATCACATCTAAAGTCCAAACAATATTATTAAAATTTAAATAACATTTATTATATCCCTTTACGGTATAGAGATCAACTTAAACTTGTTAAATTTATGTAAGGAATTAAATCTTGTTGATCTCTTTAGATGTGTCAAAAATATAAGGAGGGAAACAAATGATAAAAATCAAAGATGAAAATAGCATTATTATTTGGGCATTGTAACTTATAGCCTTATAGGACATGAGTATTCAAACATCTTATTCATTAATAATGGCAATTTTGTTATGGTATTCATATATATGTATATATGTAGGTGTGTGATTATGTGTGTGTATGCGTGTACCTAGTAGCAACGAAGTGAGGGTGGAGTAGATTTGACTGAGTGCAATGAATTGAAGGGAATTTGTCAGAGTCCACTTATATTTTATATTAGATAGAATGAAGGAGAGTATGAAAAACATATAAGTTTTGGCAAATTGTAAAAACACAATTGTCCTTATTTGAAAGAATATTAGTACCAATTTAGCAGGTTGCCTCTCTTTAATGTATATTTAAGCCAATATATCCTATTACCACTTGTACATCATTATAATCTAAATTTATGAAGAAATATATTTTAATAAAGTCCAATAAATATATTTTAGATATAGTATATCTTAATTTATTATATATTACCTGCAATTTATATATATGCACACATATTACTTTTTTTGTGTTAGTATATGTGAAAATTAAGTCCTTTTGAAAAAAAAGTCAATTTTTTTCGAAAGTGAAAAATTAGTTCAAATTCCGTTGCAAAAAAACAGAATCGGAATTTTGAAAATTGGAATGAAAAAAACTTGCTTTAAAATCGGAAAAATTCGGATCGAAATTGGCGGAATTCGATAATTTCCATTTTCTGCTCACCTAAAATATAAAATACACAATAATATTGGTATTTTAAGTGTAATATTTGGAAGAAAAAAAATCGAATTTCAAGAACTTAAAATCGGACGAAAATTGGAATCTCATATATATTACAATTATGATCCAATTAATTTTGGAAAAACCGGAACTTGGAATTTTGGAATCCTTATTGATAAATATTGTTCTAAAATCGAAAAATTCCGTATCAAAATCAGTAGAAATCAAAAATTTCTTTTCAATTTCCACCCCTAATTGAGACAATGGAATTAAGGTGGTGTTTGCAAATGCTTTTTGAAAGTGATTATGCGGGTTTTTTTGCACATAATCTGTTTTTAAGTGTTTGCAAAATCAACTTTTGTTTTTGCTTCTCTTAAAATAATCCGATTTAGAGGGTGTTTGGCTAAGCTTATTTTAAACAACTGATAAGCTCTTACGTCTGATAAGATGTTTTAAGAGCTGATAAGCTGTTACATCTTATTTTTAGGATTAATTTTTAGAGTGTTTGGATAATGAGCTTATTTCCTATTTTTACTCATTAAAAGATCTTAAATAAAAAGGTGGGGTAGAGGTACTTATTTTAAAAGATCTTATTTGCTCTCCAACAGCTTATTTTAAAAATAATTAAGATCTTTTTCTAAAAAATTACCAAACACTTTGGAAGAGCTTATAAGCTCTAAAACATCTTATAAGCTACTTTTAACATCTTATAAGCTTAGCCAAACACCCTCTTAATCTATTTTTTTAAAAGCATCCCTAACCCTGCTTTTTCAATTTTAGTTCATTTTTCGAAATATTTGCAAACACCCCCAACTTTTATAAATAAGCACTTAAAACTAACTTAAATCGCAATCACTAACTTCTGCTTTTAAATAATCATTTGTAAACACCACCTAAATCCGAGTAGAGTAAGCGGCAAGAATAAAATAATGGAAAACTTATTGGCACGTCCTCTGTGTATTTTTATGTCAATTATCTTCCATCTCCACAAAATGCCAAAGAATATATTCTCCTTCTTCCTTGTTTATTGATCTTCATTTCGCTACAGACCTTCTTGAAATTTCTCTTGGTCTAGGTTAGTTAGTTTTCTTTTTTCCTTTTTTTTTTTTTTTTTAAATAATTATTCCTGCATTCCTTTTTAATGTTTAATTGTTTTCATGACATTGATCTTTATATTTGGATTTTGCTGATTTTGTTTTTATGGGTCATCTTAGTTCATACTCTGGATTTACAGATTTGTTCAAGATCTTGAATTCTTGTGCCCCATTCTGCAATTTGGGGGAAAATAAAATATATTTAATCTTTGTCTGAAAATGAAGCTCAAAAGCATTGTACTAATCTAATATTTTGTCTTGCTAGGCAAAAAAAAAAGAAGAGAAAAAAAAAAGGATGGTTAGGGCATATTCTCAAGAACACACATACAAGCACCCATGGGAACGAGTAACTGCCGCATCGTGGAGAAAATTCGCCGACCCAGAAAGCAAAAGCACCCTCTCCCACATCCTCGAAGTTGATACCTTGAGCCGCAAGCTTGACCGTAGTTCCGGGAAGCTCTACACGTCTCGAGCTATAACCATTCACGCACCAGGTCCATGGTTTGTTCGTAAAATCGTCGGTCAAGATATCTGCCACTGCATCGAATCAACGGTCGTAGACGCAAAATCCCGGTCGATGCAAATCGCCACGCGTAATATCAGTCTCGACAAGTTCATCGAAGTTGAGGAGAAGATTAGGTACGATCCGCACCCGGAGAATCCAAAAGGGTGGACCGTATGCAGTCAAGAAACGAGCATAAGGATAAAGCCGTTTTCAGCATTGGCGTCAATGGCGGAGAAGGTCGAACAGAGATGCGTTGACAAGTTTCAGCTTAATAGTGTTAAGGGGAGAGAGGTTATGGAGAGGATTTGCAACTTTCTTGAAGCCGAATCCACAGGAATTTCTCTCTAATTTTTTTTTTTTTGGAGTATTATTTCGATTGCTAGTTTCGAGTTTTTTGTACAACATTATTCGTTATGGATGTTCGTTTTCAATCGCAGATCGGCCCAAAAAATATTGTAACAACCAAACATCAAATAAGACTCGTTTATTCCAAACGGGACGTAGATTGTGTCCATTCATCGTGTTCTAAGATAACACATTAAAATCGGAGTAATGGCAGAAAATAGAATAGCATCACAAGGATTGATTTCTGGAAGTAGAGATATTATAAAGGCAAATTAAAGCATAATTTACAATCTGACAAGTCTTTCATGGATTGTCTTTAAAAACTATCTAAGGAAACACAGAAAACCCACTCAGACACAGAAACACTAAAAGACCAACGATTAACCAAACGCAAACACAAACGTTTTTTTTTTCACCTGCAGCTGTCGTAATTGCCCACGATGCCTCAAACGTGTATAATCTAAGATCGGAAGGCATAGGGCAACTACGAATCAGCAAGCTTGGTAATGATGATTAAAACAAGTGCCATGTTTTCCAGAAATTTTTCGACTTAGATTTTGTCCAGCTTTTCTGCCTTAACAACTGGATTGGCTTTGGCTATAGCATCCCGCCCTGCAGTTCGGTAATCGAAGGGGCAGTCGTGCTTGTCCGAATAGCGGTGGGACCCACAGTACATGTTACCGCAACGGCATTTGAATCCGGTTAGCCCGACCCGTTTCTTGCAAGAGCTGCATCTCGCAGGGCCCTCTTTCGCCTTTGGCTCAACGGCTGCTACTACTGCAGGGGTTGAAGAAACGTTCAATGATGGGGCAGTAATTGTTTTCACTTCCACCAGATCGATTTTCACGTTTCCAGATTCTGCTATTACAGCGGATTCTTTTTCGACCCCAGTTGATGTTGATGATGATGATGATGATGATGATGATGATCCGTTGACAATGTTTTCGATCGACGAAGCAGCAACTTTGGCTTGTTCTTGTTTCAATACTTGGTCCTTGTAGCACTTGGAGCACATGTTCATATTCGCAGCACTTCCGAAGAAGCCGCAGTTGTTAGCGCACAAGATAGGACCTTCGGGGGCTGTTTGGCATCCTGTCTCTTCGTGCTCCATCTCGTAAGTTTTTTGCTGCTCTGAAGACATGAAAAATTAATGATATAATAATCTTGCACATATCACTTTTTGGTGTCTTGAGGGAACAATCTAGAAAGTAAAGAATATATTTTTCTGATTTCCGTCGATCGTGGCAAAGTATTTCAGACCAACCATGTCTGGAAAAGAATATACTAACTTCAACACCTCCCCTCAAAAGATTCAAGCAATTGCAAAAAATTACATGTAATTTGACCCCCCTCGAAATCTAACGGCATTAAGAATTCAATCGGTAACTTGCGTTTTTTTCCGGAAAAATCAAAGAAAACTATCGACGATCACACTCATATATTGGTAATAGCAGATAAGCGATGGTTTACCAAATTACCATTACAAGCAAGCTAATCCAGCAAATAGATAGTTTCGAAAACATCTATTTGTTCCCAGACAGAAAGAGTAATATGCTCGAACATATACTGCTACAGCTATTAACAACAATTTTAATGGTAAACCAATTGAAATCGAAAAAAGATGGGATCTTTACCTAAAATATGTTAAAAGCCACAGCTTTTACCAATCTTCTCAACAAATAACTTCAAATATAAGCATCATCAATCCTCACCAAACACTCAAATCGGGTAAAAAACCATAAACAGAAAAAAATAAATCTCGAAGCAAAATTAGAAGGAAAATTCAAAATTGAACGAACAATCAACATAAACCCAACAGCGAACAACGAAACAGCATCCAATCATAATAAACACATAAATCAAAGAAAAAAAGAGAAAAACAAACCCAAACTTCATCAGACGCATAATACATCAAAATCCAACAGATCCACACCTAAAATAAACCTACAAAAATCAACACAACAAAAACAAAAATTGAAGAAACTAACCGTGGATTTTAGAGGATCAGAGAGAAAACAAAAACAAAACCAGAAAAAGGGCGTTTTCCGCGTTGTTGACGAAGGGGCTAATCGGATTTCAATAATGGCGAATTGATTTTTTCGTTGGTCTAATTATTATCTACTTCCTCCTTTTTTTTTTTTTGTAATCCCTAATTCCGAATGCGAGAAGAAAAGTCTTTTTTCTGTTATTAAATAAGAACTCTTCTTCTCCAACGAAAACTTTTTTTTTTTTTTTTGTGATTAGGTTTGAAGGAAGGCGTGGGCGATTTTTATTTGTTGGGAAATTTTCTATTTGGGAACTTTTTTTTTTTTTTGGGTGGTTTCCGCTTTTTCCTGTTTTACCCCTTGTGGAGATGCTCTAATGGCGCTTCCGGCTTCAGTCCGTTGGTTGTGTTTTCGCCTTTCCTTTTGTTTGACCAAATCAATGGGCAATTTGGGTAGTTCACTTGTGGTCTGCAGTATATGGCGTACATTTCAAGCTAATACAACTTGGCATTGAATATCTATATATATATATTTTTAGTAAATTACAGCCCACCCCCTGAGATAATATTATATTATGAAAAGTCCCTTATATGCGAATAATTACAACCGGCCCCCTCAACTATGAATCTTCTTACACGTCCACCCTTATTGTGTCAAATTCAACAAAAAATTTCAGATTCCGTGAAATGTTCACTAGTTTGTACTCGTTTTGTACAAAAATGTCGTTTCTGAGACACATTTCATGATCATTTTATTTCAAAATGTAGAGCTCGAACAAGATAAAAACAGGTACAAACTTGAGAATATTCCATATAATCTAGAAGATTTCACTAAATTTGACACTGCAATGGTGAACGTGTAAGAAGATTAATTGAGGCGGCTCATCATAATTACCCAAACATGAGGTTTTTTTTTTTTTCAATTTAACCATACCTTAGGGGTTAGTCGTAATTTATCCTATATTTGTTTGGCATTTTAGATATAGCCCCTAAATATGATAAGTATTAGGAAAAGGTCCAACCTAATTTTTCCTACCACACAAAAGTCCTACTCTTTGAGTAGTTCTAATATTATGCTCATCTCTACCCTAGATCTCTACGATTATCTTTTCCTCACCGGTGCCACTGAGGCACAATCGTCTGGATATTAAAAATCTCTACCGCCGTCGAGGACTCTGGACATCAAAACACCATTGTCTGGTTATCAAACACTTCCACTCGAAATTGAAATAGCCCTCCTCTCATTAATCGACAACTTCCTCTACGTCCCCGATAAACTCATCAGTGTGGTAGAGTTGCTCCTATCTGTCCCATACATTCCAGTTTTTCTTCTATCAATTTTGGTATTATTATGTGACTTTTTTTTTTTTTTTTTTTTTTTTTTTTTTTTTTTTTTTTTATTGCATTTGCAAGAGTATACTATACTTTGATACTAAAAAATATGAGTAACTGTCAAAAACATTTTTAAACAATATGACGAATTAGTTCCAATTTTATATATCGATGTGCTTAGCTTGATTTTGTCCTAATACGCCCCAATAACAGTTAA